GTGTGTGTTAAAAAATTATTTTTCTCGTATAAAATGAGATAAATATAATCTATTAAAAAATTGACCCCCCATATTTTTAAAATCAAACGCTTTAACTTTAACGTTGTTATAATAAACAATGCGTTCATGCATGATTGAGGTACGACCATTGTTGCTGACAGCTAAGAGTCCAAGTTGATGCATAGGTTTAGACTTTCACATTAGATAGACCATTTCCATCCATGCATACGAACAAAATAAAATAATTTAAGATTGCATTAATAAGCGTAGGTACAAATACATATATAAATTATGCGACAGTAAGTTAAATCCTTTTGTTATTTAGTTTTCCTTGTCATTAAAGTTTGTCTTCTTGTATTCTGAATTATAATTATTCTTATCTCTAACTAGCCCGTGACCAATTTTTTTAAGAAGAAATAATTTAAACTAAACAATATAACGGAGATTCAAGCCTTCTTAGACGAGATTGGGATTGTAGCATAGCATCAGCCATGTGCTTCGTGAAGGGAATGCTTGCGTATAAAACTTGCAAAATTGGGTGTTGATCAGATCGCACATTAGTTGTTGGGTTGGGAGCGATGTTATTAAATCGAGCTCGATTATTGATTCGGTTGAGATATTAGGTCACTACTATAATCGCATGATCTGGTAAGTATATGTAAATTTATAATTTATATTAAAAAAATATTAATATACTCAAATACATATAAAAAATGATACCAATTCAAAATATTTAATATGAAAAATAATAAATTATACATCATTGTCCAACAAAAGATAAATCAAACATATAATATTTGTGATACTAGTACATCAGGTTTAGTAAACGACATCTCTAACTATAAATCAAATTGAAATTCGCTGCATATTGCATAATCAAGAAAATAATTAGTATTATATGTACATAACTTATGTAACTCAATAAGCAATAGATCACTCAAATATTTCAATTAAAAACAAACAATTTGTGTATGAAAGTGAAAAAAAAAAGTATCGATTGATGAAAACAAATTAATTTTTTTTTATGAATCAGGCCGGGTCATCGATTTTTATAAAAATGGTCGGGTGTTATATCACTTATGATTATATTTGTTCTGGAGAGACTCCCCTCCTTACTTGATTAATATTACCAGTTTTTATAACATTGGTTGGGAGAGTCTCCCCCTCCGTATCCATTGTTCTCTATTCTTCCTAGTTATTTTGTATTTAGATTTTAGAGTGTAAATAAACCAGTCATATTTATGTCATCTAGACTATATTTCAAAAGTAAATATATATGTTATTTTTTAAATAGACTTGTTTTATGTATAAGTCCATTTTATTTCAATAAATATATTAAATCAGGTCAAATTTATCGTAAGCGATATATCTAATGTATTTAATTTTAAAACTGACTTATATCATATTATTCATTTTAAATAAATATTTTTAAATAATAAAATTAATTATTTTAATTATTAATATTTTTTCTAATTCTCGATATATATGCCTAGAAAATCATATAATGAGATTCAAAATATTATATAAATATCTAACCTATTTTGATCAAAGGCTAGCTTAATTAAAACTATTGAAAAAATTATTCATAGACAGAATATATATATATATATATATATATATATATATATATATATATATATATATATATATATATATATATATGAATAACAGCTTAATGTACACGTTAGTTATTATATTGAGGTGGATGCATTTAATAGGAGGAATAGGATATTATGTTTTTTTTTTATTCCTACTCTACCTATTTACTTTCTAAACTTTTTGATCATAATTCCAAGAGGAGAAAAAAAAAATAAAGATCAATTGATATTATAATTTATCTGTGTTGAAGAGAAATGGGTAGAAAAGATATAAAAAAAAGCATAATATCCTATCCATTAATAATATTAATAATTATTAGAATAACTGCCGCAAAGTCCTGTTATTTCTCGTATCTTTCGTTGCCATATACAGAGTTAGCACCATATCGACGTGGTATGATAGTGATGGTTTCTCTGTAGTGCAACTAAATTCCATTGATTTAAATATTTTAAAATAATTTCTTGTCAATTTTAGAATAGAGGGGCACTAAAAAGCCCGGAAAATTTTGTCACGGAATATCTCGTATGGAGTAGCAAAAGTCAGTTTTGGTGGGCCTTACCTTCAACAAACGACACTCGCCATCATAGTAGCATTTTTCTTTTAGAAAGACATTTCATTTTCCCAAACCCTTTTTATATTAAGAATGAATGTTGTATCTTCAAGATGGCTTTTTAATTATATGTCTGAAGAGAAATTTAATTTTTTTGCCAATGAAAATCGACTCAAATATTGAAATCTAACAGATCTAGATCTACAAAATGGTCGACAAAATTTGATTTTAGAATAAAACAAACTTCCTCTCAAATGAAATTTAATTTACTTAAAAAATTGTCTGCTAATGTAGGTCTGGCTCCGTTTCTGGATGCACTTTGTTACAATAAGTTTTGTATAATTTGTTATGTGTAGGTGATAGAGATATCTAGCTTAAGGCTAGTAGACGAATATGAGATTTCATGTTCTCTCTAGGTATCTATGAATTAAATACTTGATGATATATTGCTAATCACTGTATACATCTATGAGGCTTTATCCAATGAGATGGTATGTATATACAATGATAGCGTAATAGTAAAAGAGAGATCTCTCTATACATGTGATTTTTACCTCTTATTTATAGAGTTAACCTTAAAGTTTTAACAACCTAGACTCTTTGCTTCATGGCCAGTTCTCTTCTTGTTTAGTTGTCGAGTATCTATTTTTTATTGGGTCTTTTAGGCATACGAACCTTATGTAGGTCATAACATAATAGAGTTTGTAACAAGATCTTGAGACTTAAATTACAAAATTAATTTATATAGTATGTATAATTAATTTTATTTAGAGTTTGTTGTGTAAGACATATCTAAATCGTTTAGTCTGCAAACAATAAATGGATTACCTATGTAAACATTTTTGTTCTTATCTGTGTAACTACCAACAAGTTACATTATAATAACAATTGACAGTAGTTACAAGTTCACTTTACAAATTTCACCAGAGGAATAAACACCGACAGTTGCTTGAGTTTACCTTCACTTTAAATACAAAAAAATCGTCGTCCAGTTTTATAATGGAAGTTGTAACAACAATATACAAATTGTGAAAAGCCAGAGTAGTTCCTCAGAACTGTCAACTATCAAATATTTAATTGATAAGAGAGAAAGATTAAAAAAAAATCAATAATGCCCCATAAATCACACAGAACTTTTGGCAAACGTAAGTACTAGATTTCGAAATTATGTATGAAAAGGAAATGAACTTTAATTTATTTTAAGAAATTCCCTGCTAATTAATGTAGGTCTGGCTTCATTATTTATTAGATATAATGCACTTTCCTACCATAAAATTTTGTGAAAATAAATGCTCTCATGTGTTATCTAAAACGATCATGTCACATGAGAGAAGGATAGTGATAATTTTATAACTTCTTATTATAATATTTTTTCTCCTTCGTCTATTATCACAATTCATTCACCTTATATAATTAGAATGTTTCCACATGAATGGTCATTTTAAATAACACATAAGAGAATTCACTTTCAAATTTTGTATAATTGAGTTTATAACAATATTGTAAGTAAAATTACAAATTTAATTTGTATAGTAAGTATAATTAGGTACGGGTTATTCTTACACCGATATAAAAATAAGAAATCTTACATCAAATCTTTGTTGTTGATTTACTTTCATCTCACGGTTCACATATCTAATAAATCAGAGCCATTAAATATAAGGGGAATATTAATCTTATGTTACATGAGAGTATTATCTCATGCTATAGAGAGAGTTTAAGTGGGGTCCACCATTAAAAAGTAAAAAAGAAAAAGAAAAAAGAAGGGGTGCGATTTTCGATGTGAGAGAAAATGAGATAACTACCTCATGTAGAATGAGAGTAGTATTTCTCTAAATATAAATATAATTAATGATTAAGATTGAGAGTGTAACTTATATCGATATAAAATAATTTTATTTAGAGTTTGTAGTGCAAAACAGATCTAAATCGTTTAGTCTACAAATAATAAATGGACGATCTATGAAAACATTTTTATTCTTATCTGTGTAAGTACCAACAAACTACATTATAATAACAATTGAAAACAGTTACAAGAGTTCACTTTACAAATTTCACTAGAGGAATAATCACCGACAGTTGCTTGAGTTTACCTTCATTTTAAATACAAAAGCTATCAATTCTAAGCGTAAAAACTACGAAGCAATTTTTATTTTAAAAAAAAAAAAAATCATCGTTCAGTTTTTGATAATGCAATGGTAGTTGAAACAACAATATACAAATTGTGAAAACAAGAGTAGTTCCTCAGAACTATCAACAATCAAATATCAAATTTTAATTGATAAGAGAGGAAGAAAGTTTAAAAATTGTTTTAATGCCCTATAAATCATACAGAACTTTAGGCAACCATACATTTCGAAATTATGTATGAAAAGGAAAAGATGAAAAGAACTGGATTAAATAAAGTCGAGATTACAATGTTTCACTGTAAGAAACTTAGAATCAATAGATATATCTATGCCTCACAAACAAAAAATAATTAAATCAGATTCTTGTCTTTTCAGCTTGGGTAAAGAAAAATAAATTGGTTAAGATTTCTAGCCCTAGCTACTTTATTCTCTTAGCTTGCACCCTCTATCAATTCCAAATCCACGTTCCAAAACGCTTTGGGTCGCAACCATTCCAAAATGCTTTGGGTTGGCATGCTCTAAAAGTCAATAAAAATGGGTAGTCAAAGATAACCTTATATAACATATATCATGTTTCCAAGAAGGTGAGTCTCAAGTGAAAATCAAACTTATCAAGATGGTTGGTTGGAGTTAAATGGTAAAGAAACAAACTATAAAATGGAGTGCACTAGCTTCCTTTTGATCACAACCAAAACCCACTTCAAAGTAAACTTTGGAAAACAATGAGGTCTCTAATGGCCTCAGCTTCTCTCACTCTTGCATTGGCCATAATCCTTTTCAGCTTCCCATCTGAAACTTCAGCAAACTACGCTTATTCCTCTCCTCCACCTCCCAAGGAGTCATACCACTACCCATCTCCATCACCACCGGTTCACTCACCACCTCCCCCAAAGGCTCCTTATCATTACTCATCACCACCACCACCACCTTATAAGAAGCCATATCATTACTCGTCTCCACCACCACCAGTCCACTCACCACCTCCTCCATACCATTACTCATCACCACCACCACCACCTTACAAGAAGCCATACAAGTACTCATCTCCACCACCACCAGTCCACTCACCACCTCCTCCATACCATTACTCATCACCACCACCCCCACCTTACAAGAAGCCATACAAGTACTCATCTCCACCACCACCAGAGCACAAGCATCGTCACCCTCACCCCCCAGTGCACCACGTACCAACAAAGAAGCCATACAAGTACTCATCTCCACCACCTCCAGTCCACAAGTACCCTTCCCCTCACCCAATCTACCACTCTCCACCACCACCAACAAAAAAGCCATACAAGTATTCATCTCCACCACCTCCAGTGCACAAGTACCCTTCCCCTCACCCAATCTATCACTCTCCACCACCACCAACTAAGAAGTCATACAAGTACTCATCTCCACCACCTCCGGTTCACAAGTACCCTTCCCCTCACCCAATCTACCACTCTCCACCACCACCAACAAAGAAGCCATACAAGTACTCATCTCCACCACCTCCGGTTCACAAATACCCTTCCCCTCACCCAATCTACCACTCTCCACCACCACCAACTAAGAAGCCATACAAGTACTCTTCTCCACCACCACCAGTTCACACTTATCCTGTTTCCCACTCTCCACCACCACCATCACCACATAAGAAGCCTTATGAGTATAAGTCTCCTCCTCCTCCAGTCCATTCCCCACCTCCACCACACTACCTCTATAAATCACCTCCTCCACCTTACCATCACTAGATAATGCTTTTGCATCACATGATCACATGGTAATTTTTCTTTCATACAACCTACATTATTACTATTAGTAAAAATTTCCTTTACCTAAACCACTTCTATTTTCTCTTCACCAAATTATCAGTATATATTTAGTTGTTATGTATGATCTTATTTTGAAACAAGAACGCATGTTAAGAAACATTACTATACTATTTAACATTTTAGTCTTCATTTCATGTAAAATATATTTATATGGACTGACAGACCAATATATGCGTATTTATGTAGGATCTAAGCAGAAAGTGTGAAAACAACACACAAAGAGGAATAAGAGGAAGCTTTTCACATATTTCGTCTTAAGTGTTTGAGAATTGTTTAGGGGACAGGGTTTATTTATTTATTTTAATTCTGCTTTTGGTTTATTAGACGGTTGTAAGGCACTATTCCCTCCATGTGTCTGCAGCTGCCAGATTATTGTAAGGCTGAGAAGCCAAATAAATGTTCCCTCTCTCATATTGGGAATAAATTTGTCCCGTGTATCTAAGGTTTCTTTTCTATTATTTTTATGATAATAATAATAATAATTTATGTTTATATGTTTGTAATTGATTATTTTTTAGTTAGCTTTTTCGTTATTAAATTTTTCAATTGTTATGAATTTAGTTGCACATTTTAAGCGAAGCGAAATTATAAATATAAAGAGGGATATTAGTTTCTTCTTTTGCAGGAAAACAAAATTTCATTCATGCACAAACATAATCTTGTGAGTCCCATAAGTCAAAAATAAAAAATAATAATTAAAAAGTAAGATTAAAACTTGTATATGCATGAAGGGTGTTGTTTTCTCCGGCAACAGCAACGGGGGAAGAATACAATAGGGCAATACTTTTCTTATTTTGCATAAGAAAAATACTATCTCCTACTCAAACAATAAATAGGAGAGAGAAAAGAGTTGAAGATGATAGAGAAAAATTCTTGTGGGACCCATTTGAAAAATGTGAGTGTAGGAGATAATACTTTTTTCTTATGTAATATAAGAAAAGTATTATCCATACAATAATAGATATAAACATTTTGGTGAGCAACAGAGCATGTAGTATTTTTCGCTTTTCCATACAAATATCCAGTTCCTTACTACTAATATATATGAAGAAAATCTTCACGTTATTGACATTGGTATCCTCGTTTCTAGTTTCTACCCGCGCGTAGAAACTCAAGACAAATAGTAGCAAAACATCCGAGAGCGCAATTTGAATTCAGAAAATCTCCATGTTAATTCTTAGCATTTGTAACCAGCTGGGGTTTCTACGTACCGACTAGTGCATAAAAGTATACGAAATATAGTAATAAAGCATCTAAGTTCAACTTCCCATATATGAAAAATAAGTTAACGGGAGATAAGTTATTTTCTATGAGTCTAAAACTACGTTATTTTTGGGCAAAATCAAGGTATTTTTATAATTTTAACATATTGCAGGATTATATTAATCTTTATAATTATAATTTTTTAATCTTATAATCTAAAACGACGTCGTTTTGAGCTCATTGGAGATAAAATTATCTACAGAGGAATACTTTTTCCTAAAATAAAAAAAAAACGTCTAAGTTCAACTGAATTATGAAGGTATTGAACTCTTTTTTTTTTTTAATTCCATGATTCTAATTATTCATTTGGAAGTCGGATTTCTTAGGTATTTGATGCATTTAGAATTGTTAGTCCATTATACATGCATGGTCGAAGTAATTAATGGTTGATTTAAAAAATTCAGAATCAAACAAATTTATACAGCCCATTAAAAATTACTAACATGTTTAAAAAAAGCAAAGATTTAAAATTTACATATTATTAAATCCCGATTCAAATCGTGTTTTGAACTTGGAATTATCAAATAATAAGTTGGTTGTTTATTTTTATTTTTAGAAATTTTCTTTATTTTTAAAAATTAGCTATCATTATATTTATTTGAAAAAAGTTCATTATCCCCATGTGGTTTACACTTTATTCTTTTATCTCTTATACCCTTATGTTTTCTTTTCTTTTCAAATTACCCATTGTGTTTTTTTTTTCATCCAAGTCCAACTTGAACACTGTTAGTAATTAAACTACTTGTCCATTTTACCCGAATTTTTTGTTCGGAGTTTTGTTTATCAAAAATAAAATATGACCCCAAAAATAAAATATGATCCCAAAAATAAAAAAATAAAAATTGACAAAGTCTACTTGATTATGACTAGAAAAAATAACACATAACGGACGTGAGAACATTAGTTGTTAAGAGGAGGGCCTGGAAAAATTCGACTAAGGCAATTTGTAGCTAGATGCGACAAAATGAAGGAAATCACATTAACTACTAAAACAACAAAAAGCAATCAGAGAGCATTTTGCCCCAATATTAAGGTCTCTTTTATTTTTCTCCTCTTATCTTTACCATTCAATACTAATATTATATTCTCATAAATGATTCTTATACACCATATTTTTATATGATTTCTTATATGTTGATATATATATATATATATATATATATATTATTACCTACAAATATAGTATAAATTTATAAAAAATAATATAAGTGACGAGTAAATAATATTATTATGATAACATAAAAAGAATGAAATGGTAGTTGTTTGCCAAACGATTGGGGATTGATTCTGAAATAATAAAAGAAAGATTTCTTTGTTTAAAAGTAATTATATTCAAAATTTTGAATGTTAACCTTTTTTAAGATTTCTTTTAGGGATATTTTGTCCATTCTGTGAAACATTTGAAAGGAATATGACATATGATTGTTCTTCATGTCTTTATAATGAACCTAAACTTCGCTTATTTACTATTGTTTTATCAATTTTTCTTAATTTTAGAATTTTAAATTTTAAATTAATTTATAATTTATTTGTAAAATAGTGCTTTAACTGTAGGAATTGAATATTTTATTACTTTAATAATAAAGTTTGATAAAGAAAGAGTTTCTATCTTATCAAATCACAACTTTTTGTTTAATCACTTTTATATAGGCTTTCGGCTTTACTAATCTCACAAATTAGACAGAAAAAAGAGATCTTAAATGTATGAGACTAATCCCAAATAAAGAAACATCATAATAATCCAATTCTGACGTTAAAGATCCTCTCCAAATTTGAACTCAATAATATATTTTTAGCAATTCACCATATCAGAATTCATATTAGCCACTGAAGTCTACCCTTGGGTTTAATTACTATATTATAATTTATAAGTCTCGTTATTAAATGTCTCTCAAGTACAATTTTTTGACATAAAATATGAAATGAAATCTTTTCCCGCTATTTTTTTGCCTTTTTTATTTTCTCTTAGTTAAATGTTGACAACTTAATAAAGACATCTCTTTCTTAATGGACAGTATCTAAGAACCTGCACCGTTAATTAAGAAATTTAATTAATAAATTATGAGAAAATAGGAAATGATTCAATAATTGACCCTAATAATTATTATGAGGCTTTAATAATTATAGTAAGTGAGTAATAATGCTGAAAGTCGCTTTTCGGAAGAAAAGTGCAGATACCGGTTCTGCTAGTCGGTATAAATGCGTACCGAAAAAGTATCCCGGAAAATTATAATAAGTGCATGATAATTACTAGAATGATATGTAGGACTTGTAAAACGAGTTTCAAGTCCAAATAATGAGAACTGGTGCTAGAAACCGGTACTGGCTTGGAAAAGCGCATACCGGAAAGGTGCTCAGAAAATTATAAGAAAAATATGATAATTCTTGGAAAAATGTTTAATTTCAGATTCCAAAGTTTGGGATTAAAATGCTAAGCGTAGCAATTAAAGTTAATACTGTGTATTAATTGATTAAGTGACTATATAAGCCTTAGTTGGCACTCAACCCTTGGTGCCACTCATTTGCTACGTGACTTGGAGGCTGACCAGTTTCTCCTTGCTCTGTTACTTGGCTTCTCCACCATTTTGTGAGCCTTGTGAGTCCTTTTCCTTCCACTTCTCTTCACTAAACACTTGCGGGGCTTGTGAGTGGGACCCTTGTGAGAGTGGGAGGGGGTTGTGTTCTTGTTGTTCAGCCATTGTTTGGGTTGTTGAAGGGGGCTGACTTACTTGGTGGGTTGTGGGAGCCTTAGTCTTGGTATTTTGAGGTGCAAGAAGCCTTCTTTGTGAAGAAAGATCTTTGTTTGGTGGTATTTCCGTGTTCTGTGAGAGACAGAACCTTGGAGCTGTTGTGTGAGCTCCAAGAGCACCCTTTTTCTGAGTTTGAGCTTTGGTAATCTTCATCACCTTTGATCTTGAGTCTTTAAGCTTAAAAATGGAACCTTGATGCATGTAAAGGTTAAAAGATGGTAACTTAACGTTGGGTAATGTCAAACACACCTAGAAATGTATGTTTAGGTGTTTAAAATCGGTAAAAACCCAACCTTGGAAGGATATCTTCACGAAATGCAGTTTCTGCATTCTGTCGTGAAATATCTGGATATGTGCCCGAGCAATATCTGGATATGTGATATCCGGATATGGGATTTGGACATCCGGATATTAGATATCCAGATATGAGATTCTGGATATCCGGATATTGCATATCCGGATATGTCCAGTAAGATATCCGGATATTGCATATCCGGATATGGTCCCGATGAATATCCGGATATTCTGGAATTTCGTAGAACAGTAGCTGTGTTGTGTGTACAGTAGGCTATTGGGGGTTTGTGGACCCTAGATTGATGAAGTTGAACTTCTGTAATTAATGAATTAAGTCAGAATCGTTGTGATTAAGGACTTATGGCTTGGTATGGAGCCTTAAGACGTAAAACGTAAGGAAAGGCGTTGTCTTTAATTTATATGCTTGTGTTGAATTATTATTGATATAGTATTGGTCCATAACAGATTGTGAATCTGCTGTGTTTGGACTTTGAGCTGTGGACTCTTGGCTTTTGGAGTTAGCTTGCAAGGTAAGCTTTCGTGTCCATGGTTTAGCCATGTTGTGGTTCCACCATGTCCCATGGGGGTGTGGTTGTATGCATGCTGTGTTACATG